ACACAAAATGATAACAATAGCATTTTGTCAAACAGTGTTTTTAGAATAATAGAATATGATTATTCAGGATATAGACTAATACAGGATAGAATAAAACGCATTGCATTTTCTAAATGACCACAACTTTTACTGATGTAGTAGAGACCCGTGAAGGTCCGGGTTAGAATTGGCCTTCAGTAACCCATGCTTGTCGTAAAAGGCGACTAACGGGATCGGGTGGTCAGACTCGCTGACTTTGTTGACACATGTCATTGGTTCCCAATTGTGCAGATCGATGCTCATGCTGTTGATCACTGGATTGTCTGGTCCAGACTCGATTATTTATAGACCGCCGCCATGTAGCTGGAATATTGCCGAATGCGGCGTAAAACTAAACTTGCTCACCCACTGATGTAGTAGACATACTGAAGAACAAATCGTCAATTTATATCGTTCTGCGTTGCCCGAAGCGCACTGACACTTCTGATTACAAACGAACTTGTCTTGACAGGAGTTACTATATTGGAATTTTACGTCCGCATCGGAGGTTAACGCAGAGGAGATTCTAAACAGGGTCTGGCGGGTAGTCAGGTTCGCTGGCTTGGTTGACACACGTCATCGTATCTCAATTGCGTAGATCAATGCTCGTGCTGTTGATCACTGGATTGTCTGGTCTAGCCAAGATCATTTACATTTCGCAGCCATATAGCTGGAATATTGCTGAGTTAAACAAAAAACAAATCCTAGCTCTCAGCGAAGTGAAGCTGACACTCAATACCTAATTAGATCGACCTTACGAAAGCTATTCTGACATAAGAAGCTCTTGTGATATCAGAGTTAATGTCAAGAATTGTAAACGATTCGACAGATAGACGTCGGAACAATGGCTGCAGCATTTCGTATCTTGATCCAACACAATACACAGATGATGCAAAGTGTTAAATATTTAATATTTCCGTATCAATGTAAGGCCTGTTTTAGTCGTTGACATTACGTTTCCAACACGTTTCATGTTTCTCGTTGTACCGTAAGTGGGCATAAGTAGCTGAGCCGTTATAACATAGCGCATTTCGTTCAGTGAGTGATGTCCCCTGGGCTCTCAAGAAACCTATGATCGCCGGTTCGAATCCCAGTTCTCGCCATTACGTTTTCAAAGTTGTGTCAAGACGAGAATTTATGGATGTCAACTTCTTTATTTTGAGGCGAGCGGAAGGTCGCGGGTTCGATCCCCGACCGCGTCATACCAAAAGACGTTAAAATATGGTACTTGTTGGTCCCTGCCTGGCGCTCGGCATTAATGGGTACAACAAGGACTGGTCGACTCGGAGTCAGTATAATGTGTCTGAGTGGGGTATTCATGCTTCACTGCGGCATGGTATCTCAGTGGGCTAGCACTATAACACCAGCTTCAGCCTGTGCTAGTACAAGCAGCCGCACCTACACATACACACGCATGCACGTCGTCATATGAGCGAAATATTCTGAAGCACGACGTAAAACTCAATTTCACCTCACCTCACCTTTATTTTGAAGGACACAACATTTCGGAGTATAATCTTACTACTTCACCTATTTGGACAGGAAGTATTATCTGGCTGTTGACAGCCTAATCCTTAGCTGTTATACTCACAATCAATTACTGAAGTATTAGGTGAATGTCACGCCTCCTCTTGCTAGGCTAGCCCCTAACTGACTGTGAGTGTATTGACTTCCCACCACACGCACAGCAGTACATATGTAGAATAATGTGTGTTGTATATGTATTTTACAGTTGCACAATATGTAAGTATGTGTATGCGTATGGGTATTTATTATATACCCTTGTAAACTAAGGATAGTAATACAGGGGTGCAATACGGATGACGTCATCAAATTCCGTATTGCACCCCTGAGGTTCTACATTGCTACTCTATGATCTGTTTTATTAAGTCACAGATTATTGCAAGATAAAAGGGTAATATAATAAATATAGAACGTCATACTAGTGCATTTGGATGTTTTGTATTGAACAAGAAGATGTCATGGGAGCAGAGAAACAACGAATTCGAAGAGTATAACGTTCTATGTGTGTATTTTGTATGCTATGGCTAAAGTTCTTGTGGATAGGTTTGTGTATATTTTATATAGAGGCATAATGAAACTTCTTGTATTGGTGCGTACGGCGTTGTCTTGATTCTCAGTACGGACATTGGTCATCAATATATTCTGCCAGGAAGCCTTAAACCACCATCTGTGTGTCTGTTTTCATCGATGATGAAGAGTATGGCATGTATACTCACCCCAAAAAGAAACGCATCATGAAAATAGCAATTTCATGTAGCAATGAATTAAAACGTGATTCATTTTACAATAGGTTTTGCTCTGTTTATGAGTCCTATGGTGTTTATGTTTTTAAACATCACAACAAAACGCACCATCCGTAAAATACCCGTATTTAACAGCATGATTTTCAATTTCGGCGTGTAGTGTCGCAGAATACACAATTCACATGCAATGAACATTAAAGTTGGGGATCAGATAGTCTCAATGATGGGTATAAAAGGTTGATCGCTGTCTGTCGATTATTCACTGTATTTGGAATATTGTTGACGAACGGAAAATGCCATGTCTAAGTGAAGCCAACCGTCATATCGCCATTGGTTTGCTTGAAGCTGGCCAGTCTCAACGTGCAGTTGCCCGACGCATGAATGTTCACCAAAGCACCATTTCACGGCTCTAGGAGAGATATCGCCGGCAGAATGCGGTAGCAGATGCCCCTCGTAGTGGGCAACCTCGAGCGACCACTGCGGCGCAGGATCGCTACATCCGGGTACATCACCTGCGTCATCGAACAGCTACGGCGACCAGTACCGCTCGACAAATACCCGGATTGAGGAGGCTTTCTGCACAGACCGTCAGGAACAGGTTGAGAGAGGCTTGTTTACGTGCCAGAAGACCTTATTTTGGCCCTGTGCTTCGACAACAACATCGTCGACATCGAGTTCAATGGTGCACCAACGTTCAGGCCTGGAACCTACCGAATTGGCGTAGAATCTGGTTCAGTGATGAATCACGATTTCTATTGGAACGACGCGCTGGAAGAATGCGGGTGTACAGATAATGAAATATAGCGAAATTGCACACTGGGAATGCAGACTTATCCGCCGACGCTTGCGTTCCCCAGGTGGACAGATTCGGCCGGGGCAGTGTTATGATGTGGGGAGAGCACCTGCCGTAGGAGAAGTGATTCGGTGATGATCCAGGGCAACCTGACAGCTCAACGGTACTGTGACGAAATCCTACGCCCACACCTCCTTCCAATCATTGATCGCCAGAGGGAGTTGTTTCAACAGGACAATGCCAGGCCCCACACACCACGTCACACTAGAGACTTCCTCCAGAACCACAACATCAATGTGCTCCCCTGGCCCTCAAGATCACCGGACTTAAACCCGATCGAACATCTGTGGGATGCCCAGGACAGACGGGTGCGACGCCGTAAGTATCAGCTCCAGTCACTTCAGCAACTCGCACAGGCACTACAGGCAGAGTGGGCTGCGATTGGGCAACACGAGAGTCTGAGACTTATTCGTTCGATGCCGAGGCGATGCCGTGCAGTTCTGGATGCCCACGGTGGTCACACGAGGTATTGACTTCAGCGCCACCACACGTCTCCATGTGACACTCAAACTGACTTTCCTCGAGTTGGTGCCAAAGACGGATAATTCTGCATTCCAAGTGTGCAATTTCGCTATATTTCTTTGACTCATAAGCCTACAAGATGTTTCAAAATAAACATAAAAATACAGTTGAAATTCCTATATGCGTTTTTTTTTTGGGAGAGTATATTTACCGACACGATTTTCTGGAACTGAACAAACAACAAACATTAACAGAAAAAACAAAGCAATCACAAAAATTCAATAACAAAGACAAAAACACCCTCAAACACCCCCACACCCAAACAACAGCAATAACAAAAAAAAGGAAACAAACAAACAAATAAACAAAAAACCCCAAAAACCCAAACCACACACCAAAAACAATAACAAAACGCCCAATAATGCAGAAAAAGCCCTCATAATTATAACGGAATTAAGCTAGAAAGTTACAGTACTATTTGTCACTTACACCATTGATCCTAGATATGTTGTAATCCTTCCTTGTCCAAGCGGAGATGAAGATGTTGAGGGGAATTACATGTGTAACGGAAGGCAAAGATAGAACGTTATCATACTATTTGTTACCATTGATCGTAGGTGTGTTGTAAATACCTTTTTTGTCCGAGTGTAGATTCGGGTGTTAAGAGCTTCTGCGTCTAGTCATTAGTTTCTACATATGCTTTCATTGCTGCCATGTCCATCCTATTCATGTGACGGATCCAGTTAAGATATATCCGGAGATTCATGACATGACGATGACAGTACGTATTTCAGGCATAATCCGTCCAGTCGCTGTTCCAAAACCGTCTGTATGTTATTTTTATATAAGAATTTAGATAATTGTTCGTTTTCATGAAATGACATGCTAATCCTATAAGCGACCAGAATGTTTATCAAACCCTAATGGTATTTTGTTACGTAGTAACTGAACGAAATTGGATATTCTATTTCCAATGTGCAGTTGCTGCTTGTCAACAATTCATTCATGCATATTGAATAGTCTAAGCCGGACAGGTATACTCTCTAAAACACAGGCTAGGTGAGTGCTTTGTACCCATCGATAGTATGGACTCTGGACTAAACCAAACACAATTATTTATTCCTTTACTAATGCAAGATTGATAATGTATACAACAGAAGACGTACGAGTACGTATTGTAAATACATTCCGTAATTTACAACAGAGGTTATACAGGTCTGAGCCAAAACGTACATTTCACATCGAAAACCAGAAGACACAGTTGAAAAGACGCCATATGTGGTGCAAGACAGGCGCACAGTAGTCATGTTATATGCGATCTTAACCACAGTCTAGTTGACAACACATATGTACAAAAGATAACAGAGAGTAATAGAATAGGTCCAAAGATGTAAGTCCGAATGTGGAGTTACCAGAGGACAGGCTCTCTTACTCAGAAAAATACATTCAGATCTGAAGTAGAATGCAGATTTACCAACACAGGGTCCACAGGGTCTAAGCTGGAATGTAAAGGTACCAACACAGGGTCCACGGGGTCTAAGATAGAACGAAGAGTTACCAACACAGGGTCCACGGGGTCTAAGTTGGAATGTAGAGGTACCAACGCAGGGTCCACAGGATCTAAGCTGGAATGTAAAGGTACCAACACTGGGTCCACAGGATCTAAGCTGGAATGTAAAGGTACCAACACAGGGTCCATGGGATCTAAGCTTGAATGTAGAGTTACAGGGTCCAACACTGGAATGGAGTCCACACAGGGTCCATCTAAGCTGGAATGTAGAGTTAACCGCACAGGGTCCATGGGATCTAAGCTGGAATGCAGAGCTACCAACACAGGGTACACATGATACTGTGATTACTGAGGGGTCATCGGCGATGCTCATAGTCATAAACGAGTGCAGGCATTCATACGTTGTTGATGTAATTAGACGGGTTCCGTATATCGATGTCAAGGGCTGAGACGTCATGGCGTCTTGCCGCGGGATGTCAGACCAGAAACGTCCTTCCTGTACTCCAAAACTGACTGATGATACGGTCAACGAGGTTGTGTTAGTGTCCCTCGCCAATATCTCTGCGGTGTTCTTCCGGTTTGGTCGTTTCTTTAAGCAGACACGCTTGAACTCTACACGCATCTGTTGATTGGACACAATGTAGACGATGAAGTTAACCGAAAAGTTCACAATTGCAAGCCAATTTGACATTATTCCAACCAGGATGTTGGTCCTGGTATAAAGGAGGGCCGATCCGTAGTTAAAGCTGGTTATAAGGATGATAAGTGCACCCGGTGTCATGCAGAAGAAGAATAGAAGAGTCAGACCTAACAATGTCTGAGTGATGCGCTGCTCTGCTGACGACTCGTCACGATTCTGATCCGTCAACCTGGAGCGCGAGGACCTGGCACGGTACAGACCGACACTGATGGCAGTGCTACTGATGGTGACGACTACAACAGGGATGAAGCGAATGAGGGACATTCTGATGGCGTTTATCGTAGTATAAAATTCCCGGTGTTTTTCCCCGAACTCTGTCAGTGTAAGAACTGTGGACGCTTGAGTCGAATTGAGTGTAGACAAATCAGATGGAACAAACTCCAAGGATGAGGGAATCAGGTGCACTATTACCAGAAGGCTGCAGATGAATATTGAAATACCCATTGTCTTCTTTGACAACAGTGATTAACCTCTCAAGCGAGATAACGACGATGACTAAATTTGAAACATCACCGAACAAAAAACTATGGAATTAAACATATGGAAAAACTTTTCTGGAGATATCTAGTCCAGGTTTATAATCTAAAGCAATGGTGAGTCCAATCAGGGAGAACGCTATCGTTCCAATGAGGTGTATAAAGTCACAGACAGTTATAGAGAGGAGAATCATCTTGGTGGTGTCCAGCATTTTATGACGTAATAAGACCACGAAACTGATGACGTTTCCCACCAGCGCAATGATAACTGTAACGGGCATGATGATCGTGTACATTGCCAACCAGAAGATGAACATGTGTTCAGCAGGGATGACAAAGTAGCCGTGTGGATAAAGTGATTTCGGTGTTGTGGTTGGGAGTTCCGTGATGATGAAGCTGTCTGCTGTGGAATTTTGGAAAGAACTGACGTCCGTGGTAGAGTTTTCCATTGTAGCTGGATCTGTAAATAGAGTTAACACAACTGTCGACATTGGCATTGTTTCACATTTGAAATTTGCTGTACGAAGTCGAAATTGTGTATTTGATACATTTAACACGTATGACCATTTTGTAGGAGGTTGTCATGGTTTTGTATTTAGACGGAACTACATATTCCTTTTAGCACGTGTACTACTGGAATAAAGAAACTGTGCATTGTTTGATAGTATGCATTATCTTGCTGAAGCGTGAATGAACGTCTGCACATGAGGCCCAATGATCTCATCCCTGTATCACAGACCTGTCAAATTGCCATTGACAATGACAAGTTGTGTCCGACCATGAGATGTAATGTCGACGTTGAACAACGCACGCATCAGCATACCGTTCACCTCGCCGTCTGTACACCCTTGACCTGCCATCTGAGCTGTCCAGATGAAATCTCCACTCGTCCGTGAACAAAACACCATCCCAATCTTGTCTCCTGTACCGTACATGCTGTGGCATTGGAGAAATCTGGACGTATTGAAGGCCGTCGGGGTCGGATTTTGTGCTCCCTCTGTCGGTTCCTTACAGTCCTCGATCTGATTGGACGTAAGCCAGGAATGGTCCGAGCATTCAAACTGGCAGTCTGGAATCGATTTCTTAAATGGGTCAGCCGAATGTGGTTGTCTTGCTGACGTGACGTCACGCGTGGACGGCCGGTCCGAGGCAAATCTCTCGTGTCCCCCTTATGTTGAAAACGTCTCCATAGAGGTGAGATCGTGTTTCGATATACACCAAAATGTCTGGTCACTTCATTGTGGGCCATTCCAGTCTCCACAACATTCAGAAGCTGGAGAATAATCAACTGTTTTCCAATTTTCAATATCAGGTGAGTGAAGTTCAGACGTCACTAAAGCATGCAAAAAGTGAATAGGTTTATTGTGCACAAAGTGTACGCGCCACGCGCGATACGTGACATGAAATTGCGTGGAAATTGCTTTGCTATATGTTTATGTAGGACTATTTATTTTCAAATACCATTATTTTATGCCACTTTGTTATGCACAGTTACTTTAATCCGTTAGTATATGTTTACTAAAATATCCAAATATGATATTATGATACAAACGAAGATTTATTTTGTGACAAAGATAGAATAGGAGACAATCGTGCATGAAACTGCTTGAGAAAAATGCCAAACAACTGGCGCAAAACGGATACACATACCGTTAGAATGGTAACCTATTCCAAGACAGCCGTGGAAATGACGGTGTCATGAGCGAGTTCGAATAATATACCATCTCCTGATTAGTTAGATTTCCCCACTGGTCAATTTTCAGTCTTTAATCAGATGTCAGATAGACTACCGAGGATTGTATTTATGCTGTCATGGCCATTAGTCATCACGTCGTGCCTGTTAAGGCGCTTCTAATAATGAACCAATCTCTGTTAGTTTGACATTTTACCAATGATGGATATGACATTTAGACATTACACTGGTCACCACCGACCCAGCAAACACACAACGTTTTCGCAACGTCGTGGGAAGGTTGTAGATTGGTAAGGTCATGACACAACGTTAGTATTACGTCATTTTATAACGTTATGTCACAACGTTACAGCCACGTTACATATATACATTTTCAAAAATGTGTGTATCAGCTATAAGACAACGTTATGTTTCATCTTTTCTGTCTGGTCAATCCTGCTTGATATATCGGCCCGTTTCTATTGCAAACTTGTGGGAACCACACCTCAGGCGAGCTAGAGCATTTGGAAATTTCGTTATAAAAAATGACGTTATAAAAGAAGAATATAGGGATGGTTTTTAACCATTGCATAAAGCATAATGCCACTCTTGTTCATAAGAAACCATAATACGGTTAACAAATTCAGAGAGGAATCGGTTTATATCACTGACCTGTTGTAGTTCCCAGATGTATTCCAAACCATTTTGATTTAGAAGATACCGTAGCCTGGATGCCCACTTTACTTTACCGAAGTCGTTTAACATCATATTATAGCACTTTTTCACATATCTGTCGGGAGGTTATCGAATCAGTCTACACCAATATTTCACAACTCTTTTACAGCAAAGTATAGACAAAGGGTATCTACCAAGTTCACCACGTACAGTGTGGTTGGGTGTACAACATTTTACACGTAGAAAATGTTTGCATGTAGAGAGATGAACCTTTTCAATTTCACTATGAGGATAGGAGAATCCCCACACCTCTGACCCATATAACAATATTGGGGTAATGTGAGTGTCAAAAATCTTCAAGAATACAACAAAAGGCAACGGGTTCAAAGAAAACAAAGATTAAATATACCATGTAGTGATCTGCTAGCCTGGTTAGCGGCTTTTGCGACACGTGCAGACTACGATAGTGTTTTAGAAAATATAACAAGGTTAGTTTCAGCGACTGGAAACTGCCGGAAACCAACAAAGTTAGTTTCAGTTTGGACCTTTCATCAAGACATCAACTGTGATTGTTTAATAACGACAAAAATAACAAGGTAAGGCACGTCAGGTATTCAATCAGCACCGAGCTGTCAAGAAAAAGTTATGGCACAGAATTTTAGATTATCTGAACTAAGAGCCCAGTAGCATTGCGTCAACAATGATGCAAGCTTCTAATTTCTCTGCGTCTTTAAAACAATTTGTGTGTCAAATAGGTTTTCTGCGTGAAGTTAATATGCAAAAATCTGAAGCTTAGATCTTCAAGAAGAAGTCCTAAACGAAGTCTCATTACAACCATGAAAATTCATTCAAAACGCTAAAAGTCTTTGAGCCTGCCTCCAGATGATGATGTGTAGTCGAGCTATCGACTTGAAGTTCTAGCTTCCGCTTCCTCGTTGATTTCATCAAACACAGCTTCAAACACTTCTCGGCATGGGATGCCGGTGTAGAAGCTCACCAGATCATCTCTATGTTTGATGTCATCAAGGGTAAGAAGTGGAAGCTTGTACTGCATGCCAAAATCACGCATACGTGTCTCTGTTTGTGTGCTAGTATGTGCAAACTTCTTAACATAACTCTCATCTGTTTGAGCTTCTGATGTAATAGTACCGTGCTCTGTCCGGGTATCCATGCATCTGAAAGGCAAAAAGGATGTGTCAATGCAAAAGATGGGTTGGCTAGATAGCAGAGTACATTCATTTACACACAGGAAGAGAGAGACCAGCAACCCCATGGCAAAACTAATCTTCTTTATACAAAATCAAAGTTGTAAATCATATAAAAGGAATGACAAAATATGTTATTTGATTAGTTTACCATGTTTACCACAACCTTATTTGTTATGCTCACCTTGTTTTTGAGTTTGGTTGTGTTGGTTGAGTTGGATGACAGTAATCACGGAGATGTAAAGAAACATCCAGTGGGTGACAGTCCTGATTGAGAAGCAGACTCGTGCTGTTGTCTCTCTCGATGTCTTCTGTGTCCATGTCATCATCACTGACCCAGTCATCTCTATGTCCTCGCATGCTTCTGTCATCTGGTTTTCATCCTGTTTCTAGAAATTAAATTGAAAATTATGAACATATATCATACCACAATATGAACGTCCTCACAACTGTCTTGCAACGCTGGATCCACACACGTTTTAGACACGTATTCTGTGGAAATCGATGCAGTGATATTGTCCTCCCACCTTTCCCAGGTAAATTCCTTTACATATGCAACAGTACTTCTTATATTTCCTCTGCGATTCGATGTTCAAACAATCCGCCATG